AATGGTGCAAGATTTCATCACAGGTTCTTCAGCTTGTATAGCTCATAGATCTCAAGAAGAAAGGTTCTTAGCTCATCTTAACTTACTAGATTTTTTGTATTTTTGAGGAGGCCTGTGATGTCTAAAGTTGTAGACTGGTTTCATGACATCGGTTGAAAATTACACACTTACAGATGAGATCTATGATACAATCTCATAACTATGTGCTAAATCCAGTTGTTAGTCCCAAATAGAGTTAATCAATTGATTCAGTGAGATATACATAAGTGTAAACTTATCAAGATATCTTTGATTCCATGTATTGAAATGTATTTGGGACCAGGAACTGGATTAGCCCATTGTCTTCATTTGTGACCATTAACTGTTAGTAAAGTCGCCGTATCATTGTGTGGAAGCTCCCAACATAATAGAAGCAGCAGCACTGGGAAAATAAATATTTATCTTTTCTCAGCTGTGTGGAGCCAAAAGTAACTGAGATTTGTCAGAGCTTGGAAACATACGCCTAAAAGAGTAACAGTTCCAGGCTGACTATAGGGTTCTCAATGTTGTAGTCAAATGTAACATTTCCAAGCTTTGGTATGATTTTGAAGGAGCCTCCAACACACTCTGGGGCAGAGAGTTCCACTGCTGAACAGCTCTCACAGTTAGGAAGTTCTGCCTAATGTTCAAGTGGAGTCTCCTTTCCTGTAGTTTGAAGCCCTTGTTCTGTGTCCTAGTCTCCAGGGCAGCAGAAAAAAAGCCTGCCTCCTCCACCCTATGTCTTGCATGCAAATGAAGGCACTCCAAAATCCTGAAAGAAAACCATAATCCAAAATATTTCTGGTCCCAGGCATATTCAATAAGGGATATTCAACCTGTGTGATTTCTTGCTGCCAATGCACGATGAGGTAGATGGCTAACGAAGTGTCTTCCAACTTTATAATTAAATTGTTTATTTCTCATTTATAATAACTTTATTTTTTGTACCCTGCCTCCATCTCCCCAGAGGGACTCGGGGCAGCTTACATGGGGCCAAGCCCGATCAACATAGTTTAAAACGTCACACATTAAAAGCATAACAGCAATATAAAACAAAATAAAACAACTTATGGTTTCCTTTCAAACCCTGTATCACACAGCAGGAGGCTGATGTATTTATGCATTAGTTAATGTGCATATTTTTTCTTTCTCTCTCCAAGACTTACATTTTTAAATAAAGGGGCTTTATTTGATCATTTTAGGATAATTCAGAAAATGATTTTTCAGGAATATGGGTTATTATTAAGTAAGCCCCCGCACCCAGCCCTGTCCTTGGCAGGAACTGTGTTCATGAGATCAAAGGCTCTATTGGAAAACAGGGTTGAACAATACACTTATTATAGAAGAAGGATTCAGCCAAAGTGGAATCCTTCTCTGTTGTCTGCTCACTTGAGAATAAACATGTGTCTTTCCATATACTTGATTACTTTAAAATCTGCCTCTTCCCATGCAAAATATAGTGCTTGTTCCTTATTATATCCAGTAATTTTCAAAAGGAAAAACCAGAGGTTTGGAAGACTTTGTTTCATTGAAAAATAAAATTCAAGCATGTGCATATTTGGAAAACAATACTTGTTCCGAAAAAGATACAGAAAAAGTAAAATAGTTCTTTTCCTTTTGAAAAAAAAATGTATTTCACAAAGGTATCAGTTAGAAATTTAAGGTGTAAAGATATTACAGTCATTCCCACAAATGCCTGTTAATTGTATGACTACAGAAAATCCCTCCTCACAAATAGATACTGTTGGCTGTGATGTTAAAAGAGTGGTTATCTGCTCAGGGTTTTACTCTGAAATTTCAGGCATTAGTTCAGCTGCTGAACTTATTTTGGGGATCAGAATTTAGATAGCACTTTTCAATTTCAGACTTAAAACAAGAGTGGATTTGTTCACTCCACTGGCATCAGAGCCATTGGATCACCTCAGCCGCTTTTTTTTTCATGTCAGGAGCGACTTGAGAAACTGCAAGTTGCTTCTGGTGTGAGAGAATTGGCTGTCTGCAAGGACATTGCCCAGGGGACACCCGGATGTTTTTGGATGTTTGTGGGAGGCTTCTCTCATGTTCCTGCATGGAGCTAGAGCTGATAGAGGAAGCTCATCCACGCTCTCCCCAAGTTGGATTCAAACCGGCAACCTTCAGGTCAGCAGCCCAACCTCCAAGTCATCAGTCCTTCCAGCACAAGGGTTTAACCCACTGCGCCACTGGGGGCTCTTTCCTCAGCAGCTAAAACCAACAGATACATGCATCTAAGGTGTATCTAYACCAGGGGTCCTCAAACTAAGGCCATGGGGCCGGATACGGCCCTCCAAGGTCATTTACCCAKCCCTCGCTCAGGGTCACCCTAAGTCTGAAATGACTTGAAAGCAAACAACTACAACAACAATCCTATCTCATCAGTCAAAAGCAGGCCTACACTTCCCATTGAAATACTAATAAGTTTATATTTGTTAAAATTGTTCTTCATTTCAATTATTGTATKGTTTTAAGTGTTTTTGTACTACAAATAAGATATGTGAACTGTGCATAGGAATTCATTCATGGTTTTTTTGAAATTATAATCCAGCCCTCCAACAGTTTGAGGGGACTGTGACCTGGCCCTCTGTTTAAAAAGTTTGAGGACCCCTGATCTACACTGTAGAATGAAAGAAGTTTTACACCACTTTAACTGCCATGGCATAGAAYACTGGAATTTGTAGTTTTGTGAGATACCAGCACTCTTTGGAAGAGAAGACAAAAGACCYGGTAAAACAACTCCCATGATTCCACATTATCGAGTCATGGCAGTTATAGTGGCATCAAACTGCATAAATTCCACACTATAGATGCCCTCYCTAGAATCTGGGCACATCAT